TAACTAACTAACTAACTAACTAACTAACTAACTAACTAACTAACTAATTACTATTAATGGGCTCAATAGGACTAACCTGTATAAATAAAGGTTGAATGACTCCAAATAGGAAATGTCAATATCTTAAAGATATTGCACCATCTGTTTGTGCTCAGGTTATAAGTAAAGGATCACAACTACCACACTAATTTTTAGGTAATTATCTGTAAAGTTTGTATTTTAGCCATTTGAGTGTTTATAAGTTGGCTGTGGCAGTCATCTTAAATAGGCTGGACTCTATAAATTAATCAATTATAGACGTTACTGTAAAATTAATTCATATCTACCCAGTGGTTCATGAGATATTTTGGTAACAGACACAAACACACAGAGACATATGGAAAAACATAAAGTCTGCTTTGACCTGGGTAATAATAAGCAACAAGATTCAGGTAGACAACACGGATTGTCTGACTACAGCGTGTAATAAATATTAAAGCAAATAAAAGAAAAAGCTTAATTTTTTTATAAGCCTCTTATGTTACCAGGATTTTACAAATCTTTACATTTAGAGAGCAACTCCAAAAGAAAAAAAGAACTGAAGTGTTAGGAAACCTTTTGTTGTGCTCTAAATGTTTGTTCTCGCACATATGGAAATGATAAAGGATGGAATGTGGACATTTTTCACAGCTACTGATAAGACTCATCTTGCAGGAAAAGAAGATACAATCTATGTTAGTTAGCAACATAGTAGGTAATATACAACCCTGATTAAACTAAGAATAGACCTTCATTGTTTTTGATTTACTATTACTTTTACAGTTCTTATCATTTATCTTTATTTCAGAGTATTGGATGGCGATATTGAGAACAAGTGAGGAACCTCCAGTCCTGACCACACACGAATCATAGTTGATCCGCTGAGACACTGGAACCTTTTCAGGCCCTGAGCTGTTAGTGCAAACTACACATGATAAAGTCCTTCTCTGTTGTATCAATGTGATGCATCAACACAACACTGGTGGGAGCATATCTAGTTTCAGAGATGTCCTCATTGTATGGTTCTTTCTACAAATTAGGCCTTTTGTGAATAAAAAATATAGGACATCTCTGGTGAATGGGCATTGCTGGAATCTGAACCCTTGGTGAAATGAAAGCTAAATGCTTCTAACAGGAATACGACCCGATTAAGCATAACTGAGCAAAAATAAAAGAACAGCGAGAGAGCCAGTCAGGTATTGTCCAAACAGCAGATAAAGTCTAATTAGGTAAACACTTGTGTCAATTTGTACAAAGTGTCAGGACTTTAATAGCTTGTAGGAAAATTGGCATGGAAGTTTCTAGGTCAGGAAATAAACAGTATAGGAGGAAAGGGTTTTATACTGGTGTCAGACTTGTTTTATTGCAAGGGTTTCGCATGGCAAATTCAATGGAGGGACTTTAGCATATTAATACAGAATGAAGTTGCACAAAGATGCTTTGGTGCCGCGTGGCTCGTCTGAATGGACGAGTGGAACTCAACACCGTACTAATCAATTTTCACAACTTCAAATCCAGGCCAGAGGATTAAATTATGCATGACAAAGGATTGTGGTCAGCTTGATATGGAGAAATTTGAGCCCAAAAAAAAAAAAAAAGATTATTATTTGAACAGAGTAACATTGTTTTGGCGAGCTTTGGGGAATGGTAGGGACAGATTTCCCTTCTCTACTAGTTTTATGCTGTATAATCAATGTTCATCAATATTGTAACAGTGGAAAAACAATCTGTTTTGAAAATCTAATCTTGACATAAACCTGACATTTTGGTACAAATGTAATACATTAATTAGCATCCGTTGAATTATATATTGTTTGCACTGCATTTTTAGTTTGACTTATGACTGAATTTGATCATAATAAGCCTCATAACTGAATAGCTGTAGAAAATCCCAATTTCCCTGCAGCCCATGACATTTAATGTGTTTTTCCAATAACTCGAATGCAGAAATATATCATTGGTCACTAAATTGAATACTACTACTACTAATAATAATAATGATAATAATAATACTAATAATAATACACTTACCAAAGAATGGTGGAAGATATGACACAGTCTCCAAAAAGGGTCTTGTTTCCACCTGTCTGTCAGCGGGCAGCTGCCTGAACTGGTGCTCCATCAACATGGCCATCTCTTCAGTCCGCGCACACCGTTAGCTTTGAAATGAAAGCCAAAGGCTGCCAACCCTTCTACTTCAGATTCACTGTGAGAGAAGGAGAAGCAAAATACAAAGACACACAAACACGCACACACACTCAGGTTACCCACATTCAGCCCAGGTCATGGAGGGACATCCAGCTGCTGGCCAGCTCATGTGATCAACTTGCTGGTGATAGATCCAGGCCACCCATCACTTCTTGTCCTGTAAAAGGCACATGAAACACACAGACACACACACATATACTGTGCATACACTATCTCATGATCTAAATATAGCATAAAGATTGAGGAAGCTTAAATTTGGTCAATTACTTCTTTTTTTTTGTAATAAATTTTATTTGAAAAGCCTGTTCATTTTCCCTTAAAATATGCCAAATTTGTGGGTTGAGCAGCAGAGTTGAATATGTGGGGTGCGCACAAGAAAAACATCTACCAAAGTTGTTTTGTTTTTAGTTTTCTCTACCAATGCAAAACATTTGTTTCAGATTTTTTCTCTCGTTTAGAGTTTCTGGTATTCCAGATGTTGGCAATCAGGTGCCTGATCTGTGCCTGACTGTCAACAACCAGTGGCAATCCCACATTTCCACAGTCTGGGACTGAATTCTTTCCAGTGACCAAGCTGGTGAGCAGCATCAGAAGACTGTGTGTTACAACACGCTACTGAGGCCGCTGTTTGTTAAATGTAAATTAATAAATAAAATCAATCAATCAATCAATCAATCAATCTATCTATCTATCTATCTATCTATCTATCTATCTATCTATCTATC